AGCACGTATGAAAGGTACTGCTTTGCCCGCCGCATATCATTCACCAAAATGAGCTTCGATGACACTTCGCCTAACTCTCATAACCTACCAGGAATCTTGAATCGTCACATGGCCACTAAGAAATGTGCAATTTTTATTTTTACTTTCTTTGCATTTATTGCCTCCAAAAGCATGTTTAGCAAAGGCAAATAGTTATCGACTCCATGTTGAGGTTCCTGAAAACAATAAAAGCTTGACGCAGTGTTATAGCTGAAGACGTGCTAAAGTAAGCTTAGTTTCACATGCATTGAGAAAAAGCCCAAAAAAAAAAAAAAGTCTCGTGATTGAAAATCAAAATTCGGAAGAGGATGCCTAGTCATTTCTAAAGTGAAAATTGTATGATGCGTTAGCTGGAGGAGTCAGTGCATTGCTATTGTGATCTAGAGATTTGCTGTTTATATTCATTTTTAAAAAAAATAGAATTGAGTCACTTTCAACTTGACTTGAAATTATTGGAGTCTTTTAATTCATATAATAGTCATTCTTCATACACGCACTTGTTCACATGGAGGTTATGCCTCCCCAATATAACAGAGGTAGAAATAGATGAGACTTTGGCTAATTATGTAGATAGACTTGACTATAGGCTCAAATTTAATTAAATAGCTTTTGAATAGATAGATTTAAATTTTAAATTTTAAATATTAGATTTTAAATCTCACATTTAAAAATCAGATTTAAAGTTACTAGAATTTTAAATAATTAGAGTTTAAAAAGAGAATTTAAAATTATAAATAAATTATAATAAGAAATAGTTTATAATTTTTTGTATATCCAAATGAGAAATTTAATTCAAATCCAAACTTAAATCTCCATTAATCCAAACATACCATTAACTTTTTTTAATTAAACCAGCCAAGCTAGACTTGTGTAATTTAAATATTTTAATTTAATTTAATTATAATATGTTATATGATACATAGGTTCACGTACATTTATACAAGGGAGGAAATTATATTTGCTTATATTTATGGTATTAGTTATTTTTGCCACATATTTGTGATTATAATTAATTAATATAACATAAAATGAAGTTTCACTTTATTTATTTGTTTAATTTATAATTTATAAAAATAAATTTTAAATAAATTAACAGCAGTCATATTAATTATATTTTTATTTATATATTCATATATCACATGACATATATTTATATAAATATGTGTGTGTATCATACAATATATATATATATATATATAATACAAAAATATAAAATGGTAAGCCTCGTGAGCCTACAAGCCAGGCTTTACATATCTAATGCTCAGTCTCTTGCTCCGATGGGAATGGTTGATTCAATTCTAATAGGACTATACGTTTCACGAGGCCAAATAAAAATGCACGGTATTTATAATTTTGATTTTATCACATGTAAATTTATCAACGTCATTTTAAAAAACAGGAACTTGTGCCAAAAAAAACACACACACTATGATCTCTAAAAACCTTCCAATCAGATGGTAAAAATATAAAAACTTATCAATCAATTCTTCTTCTTCTTGGCGAACTTAAAGATGGTGACAAATATATTTATTATTATTATTATTATTATTATTTCATTTAATATAAAATATATTATTTATACTCCCTCCGTTAAAAAATATAAGATTTTTTTTAAGAGTTGGATATTTAAAAATGTAAGGCATTTTTAGTTTTTTGAAATGTAATTATTGTCTTTTTTCAAAAGTGTCCCTATTGATAATGACTTTATATTTATCGTAAGGTATTTAATAGGGATGAATATAAAAAGATAGGATTAATTTAAAAGTAAATAACTATTTTATTGAAAGTGAAATTTTGTTAAAAATATTCTATATTTTTTAACGAAAGGAGTAAATTTTAAATAATATAGTTGTTAAAAAAAATTGGCAATGATAAAATACTTTAAAAAAGATACACATAAAAAAAAAGATGGGAAACTTATACACAATTAGAGCTGAAAAAATGGGCAGGCTCGATCTTTAAACCCAGTTTCTCATTTTTCATCCTTTTTTGAGGCTCACTTTTATTTGAAAGACTTAGTGCCGGGCCGTAAGCCCTGTTTAACAAAAAATAAAAATAAAAGTAAAAATTAAGCATTATAAGCTAATTAAAATATTTTAAAATTTTAAAAAATAAAAATACTCATAACCTTTTAAAAATTAAACAACACACATTTAAAAGCTTAGTAAGAAAATTTAATTTTTTTAAATACACAAACATAATAATTATAGGAAAAATTAAAAATAATAGAAATTTTATACTATACATTAATATTTATTAAATTATATTAAACTAATCTTAGAATAAATTAAAAATAATAATAATATAATACATGTAAGATCTAGGTTTGAGGAGAGCAGGTCTCTTTTTAGCTTTAAACGTGTGTTTCATCAAAAAAAAATAATAATATAACAGGATTTAAATGACTGCTGGACTCGAACTTTTTTTTATAGGGCTTATTAGAACCAAGCTCTCAAGCTAGGTTGCTTAAAAAAAATTAATTTTTAAAACTTAAACTCTTATTCAAACAATGTCTCCAGATTCGATTCTTATTTCTGGCTTTATACACAACTAATTTCCCCTTCATTCCTCCTTTTAAATACTCCTACATAATCAATTCAAAATAATTACGAGTAGTAGTCACGGGGCTGAGGACACAAGTAACAATAATAGAGGGACAATATGTGGGGTGAAAACGGTAATACAATAATCGTTTTCATATTCCTGTGACATTACCCAAACTACAACTGGTTGCTGGATACGATTGCCTATTTGGTGAATTGACTTCGGGGGAGCTGTGCCCCACACTATCAATCCTACGGGCCAATAATGCAACGCCAGCACTTCCCACCACGCGCACGTGACGGTCTGCAGTCTGCTCCATAATTGATAGCCTTGACACTTGATAAATCAACACTGGAATCCTGTTAGAAGAGTGCTTCCATTCTTTTACGCTCACATTTTTCATAACACAATTAGTGTAACCAATTTTAGCCGAGAATTAGGAAGCTGTTCCCAATACGTAATGTTAGAACTGGAAGAAGTACTCATCCAGTCCCTAAAGAAAGGAGGGGTCAATACAAAGAAGGCAAACTGATGACATAACCCTTGGCTGTTCCCTGCGTTTAGTGGGCTACGAGCAGATACAGATTTAGAGTGGGACCACCCACGCTGTACAGAAATTTTGCTAAAATTGTTTTGATATTTGTTTGGGGTTAAAAATGTTAAAAATTAATTTTCGCTCCCCCACTGTAGTGTAGTTTTGCATTGGGCGCCCCCGTCGGCTTAGTTCTGGATCTGTGAGCATCATCGAGCAGTTGAAGAACCCAAATCAGAGGGATCAGAGTTGGAAGATATCATGAGGTGTTTTTAACTATCTTACTAAAATTAAAAAAATATGATTAAGTCATTAATCTTGTCTAAAAATAAAATAAAATTTTAATTTTATCTATATCTAAATGAAAATTTTTAATTTACATTACTTTTTCTTTTATAGTTAATGTTTTTAAATGAGAATAATATTAAAATAAAAAAATTATATACTTAAAGTACTTGTTTTTAATTAAATTAAGGGTGAGTTTGGTTTGAGGAGAAGGAGAGGGATTTTAATAGAGGGGAGGGGAGGAAAAATAATTATACATGAATAACTTTACTCTCATTTTATTAACGTTGAGGTACTGAAAAAGTATTTCTGCATCTTTTAAACTTATTATGAAAGATATATTGGTTAAGGTGTGATAAATTTTATCTCCTGTTTCAATTCTCTCAATTTAAGTGGAGGGTTTAAAGGGTATTATTTTTCATTCCATCTCTTAATATTAGTATTAATAACATTAAGAGAATGTTCATTTCATGACAAACTCTCAATGTTAACATTACCAACACAAAAAAATCTACTTATTTTGATTTAATTAAATAAAAGTATATTAATTAAGTATAATACATAAATCTTGCCTTTATTATATAATTAATATACTATTAAATGTCTTATGTTAAAGATGGTGCAGGAGCTGAGCTCAGCGCCGTAGGAGACGTTGACGTATAACGAGATAACGCCACGTAGCCCTGTACTTTCCCCGTGATCTCTCTGCGGGTTTTGAGCTTTCGTGTCGGATGAAATATTGTTGAACTTTAGTACTTTACAAAAAAGACTGGGCCTTATTGGACTTTCAAGGCCCATAGTGCTCCATCATGTAAAGTAGCCAGACACATGTATCACCATTTACCAATATGGAGGTTTCTCCTTTGCTCTTCATATCTCGAAAAAATTAATTTTTACTGTCAATAGAGAATACTCCTAATTGAATAAAAAATTACATATTAAAGTGAAGCATTGCATTGATTAACTTGCTGATCAAGCGACAATATAGGATAATTTTTGATATTAAGATTTCAATAATCTTTCTTAAGTTATAAAAATTTTAATGTTTAGATTTTTACGACCTGTTTATAATTAAATGATCATAACTGTGGCCTGTCTATTAAAAATTTAAAAATCATGAATACAAACCTTGTAAATAAAAAATAACGTTAAAAATGATTTACTTTCATTCCAACTTAACCGTACTCTAAACATGAATTTTTTTACATTTTATTTTATGAAACTCTAAAAATGAAATTTATTCAGAAAGAAAAACAAGTTTTACTTTTTGACAAAATAAGAAAGGGCAAGACAAGAAAGTGACGCTACGCCCACTCGCGTCATATCTTGAAATTACATAACCTTATTTCGTAACACGTGTCGCCTAAAACCAACAGCCCGCGCCACATCAACCTCGTCTCGTGCCACGTACATTGCTAAATTCCGCTATCTTCCAACCTCACCAAGCCAGGAAAGGACCCACATCATCATTTGACACAACAGCAAAAATCAACTCTATTCCCAAACTACTCTTACTCCCAAAACCTCAACCTCCACCAACCACAACTGTGGTCTTCTTGTAATTGTTTCCCAAGTTTAATCCCACTTTCCTATCCACCTTCCTTTCCCACCTCCTCGAATCTTCATCAACATCCTCGATTATTCTAGTCCTCTCTCGATTCTCTCTACCCCAATCTCGTAATTTCTCGAACCTTTTCTAAAGTGTTATAAATTCCGGCTTCAGTTCTTTTTGTTTTCACTTGACGCTGTGAACTTTGAAAACATACTGTCGATTCTGCGATCATCAACCTCAATCCTAAGTACGAATTTTTGCCGTGTCTGTCTCTGAATTTAAAGCTTGAAGCTTTGCCATGGCGGCAAACGAAGGAAAGGCAATAGGCATAGACCTAGGAACGACCTACAGCTGCGTGGGTGTGTGGCAAAACGACCGCGTTGAGATCATCCCGAACGATCAAGGCAATCGCACCACCCCATCCTATGTGGCATTCACTGACACCGAGAGGCTCATCGGAGATGCGGCAAAGAATCAGGTGGCCATGAACCCGCAGAACACCGTCTTCGATGCGAAGCGACTGATCGGTCGGCGATTCTCCGATCCATCCGTCCAAAACGACATGAAGCTCTGGCCTTTCAAGGTCGTTCCGGGTGCAGCGGAGAAGCCCTTGATCGTCGTCACATACAAAGGCGAAGAGAAAAAATTCGCCGCCGAAGAGATCTCGTCAATGGTCCTAACGAAGATGAGAGAAGTCGCCGAGGCGTTTCTGGGTCATCCAGTGAAAAATGCAGTCATAACCGTCCCTGCTTATTTCAACGATTCTCAGAGACAAGCCACTAAGGACGCTGGAGCGATCTCTGGTTTGAACGTCCTTCGAATCATTAACGAACCTACAGCAGCTGCTATAGCCTATGGATTGGACAAGAAAGCTTCTAGAAAAGGTGAACAAAACGTGCTTATTTTCGACCTCGGTGGTGGAACTTTTGATGTTTCATTGTTAACAATCGAAGAAGGGATTTTCGAAGTTAAAGCTACAGCCGGTGATACCCATCTGGGAGGTGAAGATTTTGACAACAGGATGGTGAATCATTTCGTGGCCGAGTTCAGACGGAAGAACAAGAAGGACATAAGTGGAAACGCAAGAGCTTTGAGGAGATTAAGGACAGCTTGTGAGAGAGCTAAAAGGACTTTGTCTTCGACAGCACAAACAACTATTGAAATTGATTCTCTGTACGAAGGAATTGACTTCTATGCGACAATTACGAGAGCGAGGTTCGAGGAACTGAACATGGACTTGTTCAGGAAATGCATGGAACCTGTGGAGAAGTGTCTACGGGACGCGAAAATCGACAAGGGACAGGTCCATGAGGTTGTTCTGGTAGGCGGGTCGACCCGAATCCCGAAGGTTCAACAACTCCTCCAAGACTTCTTCAACGGAAAAGAGCTCTGCAAAAGCATCAACCCAGACGAAGCTGTCGCGTACGGCGCGGCAGTGCAAGCGGCGATCTTGAGCGGCGAAGGCGACGAGAAAGTTCAAGACTTGTTATTGCTCGACGTGACCCCACTAAGCCTTGGACTCGAAACCGCCGGTGGGGTCATGACGGTGTTGATCCCAAGAAACACCACAATCCCAACAAAAAAAGAACAGATTTTCTCTACCTATTCCGATAACCAACCTGGGGTTTTGATCCAAGTGTACGAAGGAGAACGAGCGAGAACTAAAGATAACAACTTACTCGGCAAATTCGAGCTCTCTGGAATCCCTCCAGCGCCTAGGGGAGTGCCTCAGATCAACGTGTGCTTCGACATAGACGCCAATGGGATTTTGAACGTCTCTGCGGAGGACAAAACAGCCGGAGTGAAGAACAAGATAACGATCACGAACGATAAAGGAAGGTTGAGCAAAGAAGAGATTGAAAAGATGGTGCAAGATGCAGAGAGGTACAGGGCAGAGGACGAGGAAGTGAAGAAGAAGGTGGACGCGAAGAACTCGCTCGAGAACTATGCTTATAATATGAGGAACACGATCAAGGACGACAAGATCGCAAGCAAGTTAGGAGCAGGCGAGAAGCAGAAAATTGAGAAGGCTGTGCAGGAGACGATAGAGTGGTTGGATGGAAATCAATTGGCTGAAGTGGACGAGCTTGAGGATAAGCTGAAGGAATTGGAAGGTATATGCAACCCCATCATAGCTAAGATGTACCAGCAAGGTGGTGCTGGTGCTGCTGGTGGAATGGAAGAGGACATGCCGGGTTCTGGATCCACCGGGTCGGGTTCTGGATCTGGCCCGAAGATTGAGGAAGTTGACTGAAGCAGAAGCTGAACTAAGTCCCTGTGTGTAGCTAGTATGCCGCCAAGCATTTAATAAGCTTCATGGTGAGGAGGGTGTTTTATGTTTCTAGTTTTAGAATGTAGTTATGAAGATGGTGATGGATCTGAATAAAAGTTGAGATTTCTGTTCAGATGGATTTACTGAGCATAAGTTCATGTTTTGATCTTGCAGCTTTGTGCATGATCGTAGATTAATTTGGTGGGTGGAAGTGGTTTTAGTTTTGAACTGTTGGGTTGAATGAAATCATACTGCTGAAGGACTAGAAAGTAGAAAAACCTTTTCTGGATAGGTTATAATGTGCGGGATGTTTTGTGAGTTGAATTTTGTGTGTCATGGCCGGAGTTTCAGCATTTTGCTGGTGGATTTGAATGTGAGTTTCGATCTTCCTTCTCTTGTAGATTCATCTCTCTCGAGCACATTTTATGTTTAACAGATTCACTTTGAATTTGTGATTGATATTTTATCCTGTGCTATACAAAGCTAGATCGAGATCGAGAGAGAAAACATAATGGTTATGCACATAAAGATGCTGGCTTCTGAATGATTATGTTAATGATGCAGCAGGGCGAAGGATGTGTGATTTTTCTTGCATTGCCTGGAAGGGACAGTGTTAGCTTCAATAATCGATATTTTATGTTTGTTTGTTTGTTTGTTTTTTTTTTTTTTTGCCACCATTTATGCTTTGGTTGAACCTTTCGGTCGGTGTGGATGATTAAGCATGAGCTCTTTCACATGGGATTCCAAGACTTAAAAAGAGCCAAATCCCACATCATGTTCATTCATTTTATTTGTATTATATCATGAGTACTTAAATTTTGCCGATTATTTTTTTTACTGGTTTTATTGATTGAGCATATTTAAGAAAAAAAATTCAAATGCATGTTTTCTACTAACAATATAGTTTTGATTGTAAAAATGAAAAAAAATTAACTGTAGACTTGAGTTATAGAGGAGAGTTGAAGAGTTGAAGAGTTTTTGCTTGTTACAGAGGAGAGTTTTTAAGTTGAAGAGTTTTTGCCTGTTGCAGAAGAGAGTTTTTAAGTTGAAGAGTTTTTGCCTGAATAAGAATAAAATAGAATATTTGCACTATAATTTTGATAAAATATCAATCAATAATAACCTAGAAGTGATATTGAAAAATTGAATTATATCTCAATTTAAAAATTTTAGACATTTAAGAGCTGTTATTCAATGTAGTGAAAAAATTAATAGAAATATTATATATATAATGCGACCTGTGTGGTTAAATTGAAAAAATGTTAAATGCATTATTCATGATTGAAAAGAGATAGTTAGGATGTGTGCCAAGAATGCCAAGTGGGCATTGATGAGAAAAGTAAAATTGATAATTTTAAATCTTACAAAGATGGATTAAGAAAGATAAAAGGAAATATTTATACAAAAGTTGTTGAATAGAACTTTTTGGTCAACAATGTTATTAAAAGAATGGTTGATAATAAAGCACAATAATATTATATAATTTACATATAAATATTTAAATTTATATAATTAATCTTATTTAATAGGATGAGGCTTGTTATTATTGTATGAATATTTAAACATTGAAATTTTTTGCCAAAAAAAATCTTAATTTTCATTAAATAAATACAGGTATAAAGTTCTAACTTGTGGAATGTGAAGTAAAGAAAGCATAATAATATTGTGTAATTTACATGTGAATATTTAAATCTATGTAGTTAATCTCATTCAATGGAATGAGGCTTGTTATTATTGTATGAATATTTAAATCTTGAATTTTTTTGTCAAAAAGAATCCTTATTTTCATTAAATAAATGTAGGTATAAAGTTCTAACTTATAGGATTGAAGTAAAGAAAGTAAAATAACATTAACCCACAATAAAAAGATCAAGTTCAAGATAGCAAAATTGTCAATATATAATTTAAATAAATTGAATTTTAACCGACTCAAAATTATTAGAAATGAGTTTCTTTTGTATACCTATTTAGGTTGAAGCATGGTTAGGTTTAATTAAAAGACTTCTTAAAAATATTTTTGTACTTATATGAAATTTTAGACATAGAAAAAATAAGGTTCAGGGCCTATAATATATAATAATTTCCGTATTTCCCAGAACTCAATATTTGTTTGCACCTTGCCCCCCAAGAACCCGATGGGTTCTCTAACTAGTAGGCACCAACTTTTCATTTCATTGCAAATCAAAAATTGTGGATAAGAACATCCAAACCAAATTCATTGGTCAGCCAAGCCAGAAGAGTGAGGACTCACTGTCACTTCTCTCTTCCCTCGACCTTCTTCCTCCATGGCTGGGATCACCAGCACCTTCCCCTTCAAACTCATCCACAGCACAACCTCCTCAACCTCACCCTATCTTCTCTCTCCTCTCTCTTCCTCTGATTCTAAACTTTTCGGCTTTCGACTTTCCAATCCCAATTCCCTCAAGCTCGATCCTCCGGTTTCTATCTCCTTCGCTCCCGTCACTGCCCGTTATGGCGGCGGCGATTCCAGGAGGTACCGGAACAACTCCGACGACGAGCAAGTCCTCGATTTGGATAATATTAGGTACCAACTTGCGAATTCATGGGAACCTGCTTATTTCTCTTTGCGAATATTCGTGGAATTTGATGGCTCACGAGTTTCGTTGCTTGATGGCTTGTAACAGGTCAGACACTGTGAGGCTTATTGATGAGAATCAAAATATGGTCAGTGATATTTCCTTCTTTATATATACTTCAAATGTAAAGTGGGCCTTCATTTGTATGACCTGGAGTAGCAAGTGGAAAGAAAGACAATGCGTGTTAGAAATTTTATTCAACTGAAGGGTGATATTTATTTATTTGGTTTGTTAGTTATTTTTGCCTGGTTACGCTATTTGAAATTTCCAGAGTGGGGTTAGCTACTAGCTAGAATGTGGGTTCATCTTCTTGGTTTTGGATCATTCTCCATTTTGAAAATGTATTGTCTTCGGTTTTGGTAGATTGGTGTAGTTTCCACGAGTCAGGCCATTCAAATGGCTGAAGATGCCGAACTTGACTTGGTATGTTGCCTTTTCGTTGTCTTGAAGTTTGTTATAATTGTATCTTAAAGCGTTGGTTCGGGTCTGTGTTTCTCTACTCATGAAGGATACCGCACACTTCTCCAAGTACATTGAATCACAAATATGATTTTAGGATTTTCTGAGAGGGCGAGGAAGAGTATGATAGCATTTGTTCAACGTTTATGGGAGTATGTTGTAATATGCTATCTTTACGCTATAGCTATCTATCCGTGTCTTGTGGCTACTGCCACTTGAATATTCTCTTAAATAATTTAAGCTGATTCCTAGACAGGGTTTATTGTTTTGTGACATTAGCCTTTCATACATGACACAAAATTATGACATTGGACAATGAAGATTTTTCAAGCATTTTAATTGGAATACTGAGACATGAGACAAGTATTACAAAAAGATTATAGGAGTTATAGATATTGAATTTAGTTCAACTGTTTCTAGCCAGTTCCATCAATGTGCACCTTGCAATGGATCCTGTGAAGATTTATTTTCTATGATGAAGTTTTTAATTCTTTATCATTGAAATAAATGCCGCCTTATCATTGAAATAAATACTCTTTTTTGCAGGTAATAGTATCCCCAGATGCAGATCCCCCGGTCGTTAGAATAATAGATTTCAAGTATGCTCTTTGTATATTTTGAGGGATACTGTGAACTTGCAACTTACCTAAAATTTTGTAAAACTTAATCTTTCTTCTTTTACAGTAAATATAGATATGAGCAACAAAAGAAAAAAAGAGGCCAGCAGAAGAAAAGTGCCGGTGAGCATTGCGTTTTTAGACTTCTCTGTTTTTCACTAACTTGTATGACTGGACTCCTAGAACCATAATATACTGACAAAATAGTCTTTGAATGTAGCTAATCGAATGGATTTGAAGGAGCTCAAGATGGGGTAATTTTCTTGCCTCTTCCTTCCTCATGCATTTCTCGTTTTTGTACCAAAGACAACAACTACGGGAAAAAGAAAAACAAGTGTTATTGTGATACATCAGATGCTTTCTACATGTGCCCCCTGATATTGTTATACCCTTTAAAGTTATAAACTTTATGCTATTGTTTACTTATTCTTCTAAATGACAACAAACTCAACCATAGCAGCGGTAAAGATGGCATTTTATTTGTTTTAGCTCCAAGTTTTAGCAATGCACTTTTTTGTTTGGCCATTGTATGTGATTGTACTCTTTTTTTTTTTTTTTTACCAACGTACCCTGTTTTTAATTATACAAGTATTTATTTTAACAGATACAACATAGATCAACATGATTATTCTGTCCGCTTGAAAGCTGCACAGAAGTTTTTGAAAGATGGTGACAAGGTTCATGAATTTCACAGAAATGCTTTGTTATATGTAGAGCAAAGATAAATCATCCACGTGTTATTAATGTCTAGAGGCTGTTTGATCAACTCTTGCAGGTTAAGGTCATAGTAAACCTCAAGGGCCGTGAAAATGAATTTAGGAACATTGCTATTGAGCTTATTAGGCGCTTCCAGAATGATGTTGGGGAGGTATGTGATGTGATGCTACCTTGTTATATCGTGATTAAATTATATTAAAATATTTGAGAAAATGACTACGAAATTATTAGGTTTTAAGTAATGTTATTTATGGGTTATGCTATTTTACTTATCTTACATCTCTCCAATCTTTGCTTAATCATAATTTCTCCACTCTTATTTATAAGGTGCAGAGAGAGGGATTTTTTTTTTTTTATCTTATTTATAAGTTATGCCATTTAATTTTTCACCTCAAGTTTCCCCTTCTACCCTCCATTAGATGTTGGTAAGAGAAAATATGCAATAAAGTATATATAATTAATAAGGCAAAGTTGAAAACTTATTAAATTTTTAGACAAAGTTAATGAGTTTTAAGATTTTTATTGATTTCAGTGAAGTATGGTGAAAATAACTTATAAATAGAGCCCGATGGAGTATCTATTTAGACTTCATTAGTGCGTTAATTCACACAGTATTCTTACATTGATTTCTGCTTCTACCTATGTTAGTGGAGGCTAAGGATACTAGTGCTTAATTGAATACTAAATCCAAATCACTCTGGTTGATGCGCAGCTCGCAGCAGAGGAATCTAAAAACTTCCGTGACAGAAACATATTCATAGTTTTGGTTCCAAATAAAGCTGTTCTACAAAAAGCACAAGAACCACCCAAGAAAAAAGACAAATCAGCAGCAGATGAAGTCTCTGCTAGTGTCCAAGCCTAGCTGAAAACAAGTGAACTTCTTGTGGTAGAATAGGTTGTGGGTAACTTATATTCTTCTTCTAGGCTGGGCTCTCTCATCTGTGAGTGCTGTTATAGACTTATAATTTCTTCACAATAGTATCTCTGTCGAATTTTGAAATGATAGAAGCAGCCTTATCCAGCTTGAAATTTTGCAGCCTTACCCAGTATGAAATTTCAAGTTGCTGAAAGGGTCCCACTAACCAAGCTTTTGTCAAAACGGTCACACGTGGCTAATAGGTGCTGTATCTTCAAAAACTCCCTAACTACAGCTCACCGATGCAATTAGCTTTTTCTTGGAAGTTTGCTTGCAAAGTCTAGAATCATATTGGGAAAATTAAACTAAACGTGAAAATTTCTAGTGTCTTTTTTTTTTAATAATTATTTGGTATTTAATGCTACCGATGGACTAATCCATATTTGAGAAATATTGGGTTCAAATGGAGGTAATTTTTTTTTAACATGGTTTTTTCCATTTATAAGGTTTGGATTCTTAATCTTGTATGAAAGATGTTGAAGCGTTGGCCCAAAAAAATGAGAGAGGTTGAAGCCCTCTCAAGTCGTCATTGTTTCTGAAGGTTTTTAGTTTTTACTATCAGCTTCTCTGAGACTTTCTTGGAGTCAACGGTGGTGAGTCTTTCATGTGCTATATGTTTGTTTCAACGGTAAACTCCATGGAAGATTACTTAAATCTCGTTCTTAATTATTATTACTAATTATTAATATATGTATGTATGCATGGATGAATGAAATTAAAACCAATTACTTCTGTACAGCACTGTATCAGCTTCAGTTACTTTTCAAAATAGGTGCATGTATATTGATATTGATAAATCAGGGAAAAGGTGTATTTTGGAGTTTGGAAAATGGGGTATTGTTTGATAATTACTCGATGAAGATAAAAGGTTTGAAGTTGGTAAATTGATCTCTTATCTTTACCAATAGTATATTGATAAAATAGCCTCCTCTGCCTTGCTGTTGAGATAGAGGCAAATTTGGACTGTTCAAATTTAATTTGGATGACTCAGATTTAATATTTTTGAAATAAAAAATATATAAAAATTATAAAAAATTTAATTAATAAGCTTATTAATTTTACAATCCAAATTTAAAATGAATAGTTCAAATTAAATATTAAAATTTTTTATTAAGTTTACTATTTTGTTTCAAATATATCTACATTGTTCAATTTTAAATTTTTAATATTAAATTTAAATCGTTCATATTAAGTCTAGACTATCAAATTGACAAGCATATTTATTAAAAAATTTTACAATTTTTATATCTTTTTTATTTTAAAAATATAAATTTAAGTATTAAATATAAAACATTCATATTAAATTTGCCTCAGCAGAGGGGCAAAGGAGGCTTCCACTAAGGGAAGCCGACTCTTAATAAAATATATACATGTTCTTGTAAAATGCTTTCCAAGCTAACCGTGGCAACTTTAAATGCATACAAATTGGTTTGAGAAAAATACTAGCTACACAATACTCTCAACTTTAACAAGGATATGAAATTTCAATTTATACAAGTATGTAACATATTTATGTATTAAACTATTGGGGGAGCGGTTATCATATGGCTAGCCTCTATTCTCACCAAGGGTGGGGTTTGGTCTCCACATTGGTGAGAACTGAGAAGTTAGTATGAATTAAATGAGTAATATATTTCAACACTTCAAGTCTTTAATATTAGTCGCGAGGTGTATTTTTTTTTTAATTATTTGGTGTAAGTCCCAAAAAAGACTTTGTAACGCCTACAAGATCATATGTATGTGTGTATGTTGGTGGAGTATTAATTTATTTAACATTTGAATGACACTTTCTTCCTCCTAGCATCCTCAAACTTCAGTAAATTAATGTCACATTACCGGAGTTCAATCCCTCAGCTTGACCCTTTCTCTTAACCCTTTTTTTTTTTTTTTTAATCTTCCTATCTTACCCATTTTGTTGAATGCAAAAGGTTGACAAAGACTAGACGGAAAAAAGGGGGATATAAATGCTGACTTGGTTGGTCCAACGCAAAGTTAATAGAGCTGCAAACAATGCTTATGCATGAGAAATCTGCTGCTATAAAATTTGTCCCATTCTAGCCTTAAAAGCTTCTCTTTAAGCTAAATTTCAACATTTTGCTCATTTACTTTGCATTTTCTTTTGATTTTCCTGATACAACATTATAACTTACAAGGAGGAGAGGGTCACCAGTTTAGTCCACAGTGTTAGAGGGGAAAAAATTCAAACAAAGTAATTCCAACATAAATGAGGAAGATAAACCAGAAAGAAATTTTGCAATGGTGAAGACACTGAGAAATACCATGTATCATTTATCATGACTGAAGTGGCAAGAGATAGGTTAGCTTAGAAGCAGGTCAGATTCATGCCCGTTTAAATTTTCTACCAAGGCTACTTTTTTGTCTCCAACTCTTGCTTCATTTGCATGAGATGTGTCCGAAGGCTATTTTCCTCCACCTGTTTTAGCCAAAAAAGTATACATCAGAGATTCGGAATGCAAGACAAAAGAGTACAGGAAGAGAAAAAGAAGAAATGGGGAAGCAATGCATGCTATTCTATTCAGAATGAGGTAAATGGGAACCCATGTTACAAAGATTTGCGCTTTGAATTCAAAAGGTCTGGCTGGTAGGGACTATCCCAGGTGTTGATATACCCCTCCCTCATGTGCAAAATGAAATATCTCAATTCTCAAAAAACATAACCTAAAATGAAAATACCAAGCTGTAACCCAAACTCTGCTCCTTTGCTCTCCATTCAGGAGCATATCGGATCTCAAATTGGAACCACATACTTCCCACTTAACATTCCTTTACTTAAAGAAGTTCTGAGCATCAGCAGACCAGGTGGGTGAAGTCAAAGGTAAGCCATGATGCCAAGTCAACTTTTCAAACCCTAATCTAACTAGGCTGACACGCACGATGAATCCACTTGATAGAAAAATGTGGGCCTTATCTGCTCTTTGATATGATGGGAATGATGAATGGAACAAAGGAGAAAATAAGGTAAACATATTAAAGTCATAATCCAAGAAGTTCCAGTTTATTACATTTAGGTAGCGTTTGGACTAGTAAATTTGGATTTAAAATTTCCCATTTCAAATCCATGTGTTTATAATTCTTTATTTGGATAGTTTAAATGACAAAAATTATTATTATTAGGCAGTGTTTTGAAGGTGCATTTGGAGATTTGAAATAACGAGAATTTAAAAAAGATTTCAAATTATGAAAAAATCAAGATAAAATTGGGATGCATAAATTTTTAAGTGCCCCAATAGGGAATTTGGTTCAAATTCAAATCTACATGTATCTAAACATAGCAAGAATTCTCTGATCCAACCACTTACAACATATGTTTGAGGAAATTGATAGCCCAAACATTTACAAGTTCTATTGGGATAATATTTGTTCTTAAATGACTCTCACCTGCATAGCTGCCGCCAAAGCCAGAAGTTCTTCACATTCATCAAGCATGGCTTTTTCTTGTGCTGCTACAATGGCAAGTTCAGAAACCAAATCATTCATGCCCTCCACCTGTCATTAAAAAAAAAAAAAAGTGTGCGGTGTCAACTCCTAAAATGTAGTATTTGATATGATAATGATGAATAGAATACTACTCAGACCTTCTACCAATTAATTCAAAGTTATTGTTCTACTAGTTTGGTAGTGAAGATGAAGAAAAGGTATTAGCAAGCACTTGGCAAAAATATAAAGGGTTTAACCCATAGCATTCACCATCATTGACACTGGTACACATACACAAAACAAGTGTACAACTGTAGATCATTTAACTTACCCCTGCGAGCAAAGAGCAGATTGTGGATCCCATTCCTTGCATGACGTCGACAGCTAAGCAGATTGCAACCTTCAAATCCTCAATACCTGCCTGTATAACAACAGCAACTGTGAGAATCCCTCTGCCTGGTTTCCAGCAGTCAAACCGAAAGGCATCCTACAGGTGACAACCATACTTACCATTGCCCCTCCAGTTACTGGAAGACGAAGAATGCCAGCCTTTAGGTCTCCTATAGCTCCTGCTAGAGCATTGACATGGTCGCTTTCAAGTGAAGCCCATTCATTGAGGTAGGGCATCTGCTTCAGTCATAGTAAAATTTAAGAACATTGAAAACTCTCTTCAATAAGATTTCAAACAATATCAGTAACTATATCAAAATATTAACACCCCCCTCAATTGTTTTTTTCTTTTTTTCAAAAGATCAGATGTCCCAAAGTTCCAGTTGGAACAAGACAAGCAATCGGAAATTTCTTTAAAATTGGAAATTATAATATAATAATATTCACTTTAAATACACCATTTGCATCACATATTACCAATCTCGTCCCCTGAAAATTCACTCAAATCCCATTAATAAGTACTCCATTAAAGAAAAGAGAAAGAAAGCGACTCTATTGCTCCACAACAACAAGAAGAAGCCTTATACCCCTAGGTGAGAAAGGCAACTCTATTGCTCAATCAGCAATAAAACCCAGCGTGTGGAATAAAGATTCCAGCAAGAAACATTACTTGATCTTTCAAAACAGAGTTCAACTTCAGCTCAAGCTTCAGCTGGTGGAGATTTTTCCTCTTCCTAGTTACGGAATCCCACACAGACAAAGTGGTGTTCCATACATTATACAGAGTTCTCTGCACCATTGAACAAGTTCTCATAAAATATGCCGGGTAATTATTTGATCTATGTGATAATATGTATAGCAGAAGGACGGATACTTAAAAGAGCGTTCCAGTTTGCCTAACAAAGTCATACCTCCACAGTTTCATTTTGGATATAAAGTAAAGCCTCAGCTCTTGCATTGGCAAATCTCCATTGCAGATATCTGTTATAAAGAAGCCGTAATTGGTGAGCATCTTCAATGTGAGCTGCAGCTTTTTTACCTCTTTTAAAATCAGCAACAAAACTGAGCACTGAAAGTGAACTGTTGGATTGACTGGACAGATTGGTTGGCCTTATGCGGGATGGACTAACCCCTCTGGAAGGGGGTGTGAGTGGCCTTGACTGAGATGGACTCTGACCTCTTGAACAACAAGAGGATAGAACTAAGGCCATATTTGGTGAACGTGGACGTAATCCTGGAGGCGGCAAAGATCGAGATCGAGCAGGAGGAGTCAATAATCCTATTTTATCATATGATCTTGCAGAAACAAATTTTTGAGGGCCTACTATTAACAGCGAACTATCATCAACGGGTTTCACGTCGCTTCCTATTTTTCCATTTTCGGGAAGCATTAGTAGTCTTGCGGTGTCTCTAGAAGACTTTTGAAAGGGCTTGCTTGCTTCATTTGACAAGGACAATTTTCTTGGTGAAGACCCGGTAACAGGAACGGAAGAGGGCAATGTTCTGGCTGCCTTATCAGCAAACTCTACACTAGTATGCACTGCATTAGAAGATACATTTCCTCCTGTTCTACTTGGCCACCGATGCTGATCTGTCAATCGAGAGTGGGAACTATCAACTGGTTTGGAATTTTCTGATTCAGAAGCATTCTTCCCTTTGAGAGGACTCCTCTTTCTCCCTGGACTAGGCTTCCGCATAGTTGGAGTTTCAACCTGCTTGTGTGCCACGTTTGAAGTCGGTCTCAGAGTACGATCAGAAACACTAGTAATTGGCTTCTCTTTCTTGCTCACAGGTATGGAAATGGCATCTGACTGGAAAGAAACGCTCAAGCTCCGCATTGTGGAAGGCCATAAACTCTCCTGCAAACGACCACAAGTTATCTTTCTTGATGACATCTGCACATCAACAGATGCCTCATGGACTGGTGTAGATGGACTTGGAGGAGAAAGAGTTGAAGGCCGTCTCCGTTCCACTGACTGAGCTCTTTTATGTAACAATTGGGAAGACTGAGTTGTTGTTCTTGTGAGGTTCGGAGATGAGTATCGCCGGCAACTAGATGGTGTTGCCGGAGAAGGTGAGCTATACCTTGTGGTACTACCTTCCCTCGTCCGGGAGGTGACTGCATTGTTCTTTTTCGCCGAAACCAAGGGTGGTCGTCGGGTCTCTATAGGTCGGTGGCTCGGTAATGCTTGCTGCAATTCACACACATCCATCCACTCCACATAAATCAGACCACATTGATCAAGCACTTCATAAAACCAAAACAGATTTGGCAGCTGTGGCAATCATGAGTCCCGCATTCAACGGAATAAAAATAACATGGCCAATTACACAGAAAGAAGATCCTTTTCTCTGCAATAAATCTGCCACCAACGAACAACTAAAGGTAAGAAAGATTCTACAGACTGGGAAATAAAAGAAAAGCAACGAACATCCAATTGGAAAGGAAAAGATGAGTGTTTTTTTTCCCCCATGAAAAGCTTAAAAGCTCACATCTTCACAGAGACCCAGATCTGACGGAGAAAAAATTTCAGAACCATAAATGATAAACGCATGTGAGTATGTTTTTCTCATCAAATAAAGCCCAAATCCAAGCAGATCAGGCCACTGCAAGAAGAATTTAGATAGGGAAATCAGCATCTGATGTAAAGGTTCAGAGTAACTCGCGGAAACTGTCTCGACGTACATTGGCTTTACTTATGGTTAACCGAAGTTTCATTCGCAGGGGAAGGGTCCCCCTGGGAAAATTGAGCATGCCGGGGGGAAGTAGACTGGAGAGCCTGGGGTGTAGTTTAAGAATAGCGTAGGATAAGAATACAGATTTTTCTTTCTGGTGAAGAAGAAATACAGACTTTAATTTTTCTCCTTTAGTCTTTCCCACGAGCATGCCTGTATCGCGTGCGCTGGCTGGCAACGTGTTCACTCCACATAAGCTCACTCTGTCCTTTTTCTCTTCTCACTCCTCATGAAAGCGAATTCAATGAAAGTGATGCAAAAACTTACAGGGGGCAGGAAAAAAAAAAGATTTTTTCCTAAAGATGAACCACAAATTTTTCATAAGAGTAATTGTTTTGTGGTTTCCTCCACACAGAGTTTTCAATAGAATCTGTGAATTATGTCCTTTGTTTGTATGCATAGTATTTTATTTCTTAATTTATTCGAGAGTTGAACTCGCAGGTGCTAATGTTCTCGAGGAGATGGGTAAAGGACATGGAGGACCACGTGCAAGGGCGATCATTGTCCATCCCCATGAACCTATTGTGCAAACCTAAGATGCTTCGCAGACGTAATCGATTAGATAAAAGAAGCAAACAATTCAGGGTCATTGCTTCCTCCAAATTTAAAAATAATACAGTAGTAATTTCCTTTTGACAGGTATTCATTATTTTATAGATGAATACGAAGAGGTATCGATGAACGCAATAAACATTTTTCCCTAAAATCTCCGAAAGAAACAAAGGATCTGAACAGGGCTCGATGACGTTTGTCTGGATTAACAGGCTGTGTCTCTCATATTGAAGACATGTTAAGCGTTTCACTACTCAACGCTCACGTAATCTCTTTGCAACAAAACTCCAAGGAGAAAGAAAAACAAACAAGAAAAGCGCATCTACATTGGATTCTATTCTGAAATTCATGTTCAATCAAGTAACTACATTGGAGTTGAAAATTTCAAATTCTTAGGACCAAAAATTATTTGCACAATCAATCGCAGTATAGTAACTAAAGGAAGAAAAACTTACTGTTTCTTATAAATAAGCATCTCCGGTCAACTAAGAGCTTCTCGGAACTTAATCGGTGGTCATTCCATCGTATTCCGAAAACGAAAGAGAGAATAAGAGAAAAGCCAGAACCCTCAGATTCTTCTAGAATCGAATAAAGACTAAGACGTCGACGTCTCTACAAAAAGGTGGCCGGAATAGGCAAAAGTGCTACGGTCGGTCGTCGGAGGGCAATTATCGGTGAGAGCTAATTACTTGTTTGAAGCAGAGCTGCAGCGTATGAAGTGGGGGAAAACGGAAAAGGCAACGCGAAGCGAGACAGTTATTGAAAGAACGAAATCGATCTGGACGAATAACAAATTTTTAAAAAAGCAAAAAAAAAATCATGGTATAATTTTTCCTTTTTTTAAATAATTAGTACTCACTTTCAAATTTTTAAAGTATTTTTTATTTTAAAATATAAAATAATTTTAAAAAAATAAAATTTAATTAACAATATTTTTTTAATATTACAGTTTAAGTGGAGAAAGAATTAAATAATATTATAAATTAAATGTATAAAAATATTTTTAAAAATTTATAGAATTGTTATAAAAAATAAATTTTAAAAAATAAATTTTTAAGAAGTCATTATTATATTTTTTAATATATACTATTGTTTAAATTGTGTCTTATTTTGGTGAGGAGTGAATAGTTTTTAGGAATAATAAATAAAAAATTTAAAAAGAAAACAATGGTAAAACGGTTTCGGTTGGCGGGGAAAAAGTGAGGACAGAGCAGGGACAGTTGGTTCCCGCGCCAAAGCGCGTATTTACTTTTGATTTCTGAGTCTCTGAGACCGTGATCCTCTGGCCAAAAAAAAAAAAAAGAGAAAAGAAAAGAAAAGAAAGAGAGAGAAAAAAAAACGCCAATGACAAGAAAAAGCTGAGATAAACTTTTTTTTTTTTTTTCAGATTATCCAAAACAAGAATCAAAACCCTTTTTTTTTTTTTTTACTGACAAAATAAGGATCAAGACCTATGATTAAACGTGAATGTTCGGATTATTCCCAGACAACATTAGTAATAGGAGACGTTATAACCCGCAAGTTTGAATCATCTTTGAAATGTTATTATCACAATAACATATTATTTTTATCAATAAAATAAAATACAAGGTCACCATATTATTATAATAAAATGTATAATAAATGTGAGTATCAATATTATTTTAAAAGAATGTTATATTTAATGTCACTTTTTTTAATACAAGTTAATGAACGACCGTGCAAGGGAAAGTGTTCGAGCATGTAATTTCTGCACTTAGAGTGTGGATTATAAAAAAATCTTAATATTTAAATTGTCATTTGGAATTTGACGAACAAACTAATTCATGTATTTATTAACTTATATAAACACATATTGAAAGTGATTGCCCAATTTTTTATAATAAAATTTTTGATCTTGTTAATGGTATTGATGAGGAGATGATTTGTCATAAAATTGCTCTGAATGAGCATGATAGTTTTTAGAGAGTCTGGATAGGTATTGATTTCAGAGAAACCATACTTTCAATATAAATTGATACCATACAAAATACCCAGAAATTTGGCTGCAATTTTAAGTATGTATTGACGTGAATTCTGAAGCTTCACTGGGGGAAAAAACAACAAATTATTGCTTCTTGTTGAATGCTTTTGGGAGAACCTTTAAATATAAAAACAAACAAAGGCTTAATTTCCACCAATTAAATTGCCAAAAAAAAAGCAGAAAGAAAGAAAAGAAAAGACTAGACTTTACTAGTTTCTGCTTTTATATCATTGCCCGTTCAAAATATTTTTTTGCCACCCCTAATCATGATATTTAAACCATAATAACAACAAGATTCAATGTCATCCATCTATAAAATCCAATGTTATAGTATTAGTGTAATATACAAATTTTAGGATAGTTAAACCATAATAAAAACAAGATTCAAATGTCATCTATTTACAGAATCCAACGTTATACTGTTATATAAATTTGAGGTTTTAATATAAAGTTCAAAATTAGGTGACCTCTTGCATTCGTAGTACGTCATCATATTATTTACAATTTATGACTATTAAAGGTAGGTGTAAATTGTTGTTGACGTGGGAATTTTAAATTTAGGAAAAATAACAAAGATATTTCAAAAGAATTAATTAATTAAAGTTAGGTCTTAAGTGTCAACTTTTAAAAATTTACAATTCAATATCTTAATTTTACAACTGCGTTGTGATAAATTTGTAACTTATTTTTTAAATTTTATCATGATTGAAAAATAAAAAAATTATTTTTCTTATTAAAAGTTGAAATATAAGTTGCAAATTTATTATAATGAAAGTACAAAATTAAAAGATTGAATTGTAAATTTTTAAATTTTAGTATTTAGAATCTAACTTAAATTAATTGATCATTTTGGGATCTTCCTGTCATTTTCCCTTTAATTTAACGATGCATAAAAAGGAGTTAGAAACAACACTAAAAGACCACAATGTTATAAAATGCCCTTATGTGATTGGAATGTAACTTAGATGCAAATCACATAATTTTAATCATAAATATCGAAAGTTTAATTCTGTATGCTGAGAATGTAAAATGGGTGTATAAAAAAAGGGGAGGTTGGTATTTTGAAGAAATGAAAAAATATATAGTGAAAACCACCTAATGTGGAGTGGATAAAATTAATCCAGATAGGGTTGTGAAAGGATAGTTTGGAGAGGTTGTACGTGGTAGTTTAATTCGGGACAATAATGGAGGATGGTTAAGAGACTTTGTGAATATGATTGGGTGTTGTATGGCTATTGATGTTGAATTATGAGGATTTTGGTCAGGATTTCATATCTTAAAGAGATTGGGTTTTAAAAAGTGATCGTTGAATCTGATTGCAATGCTATGGTGACTATAATGCAGAATATGATGATTGATTTTGATGTAAATAATAAATTTATTTGAGCTTTATAGAGACTTATAAATGATAGTTAGGATATACAATTTTCATATACTTATAGAGAGGATAATTTTTGTGCTGACTAGTTAACAAACTGGAGTCTAATTCAATAGTATGACTTAGTTATCCTCATATAAGGGTAATAGAGTTTCTGTATAGAGATATTAAAAGTATAGCGTACCCAGAATTGATTCATGTGTAATTTTTTGGGCTGGATGCCCCCATTTTTAATTAAAAAATATTAAAAGTTCAGTTGTGAATATTAATAAGCTGGCAAAAAAAAAAAAGGTTGTGAATGTTAATATACAGTTTATTTATTTGGGATCTATAGTCTATACACAGTTTTCCTCCTAAACTTTTGTCATTGTCTGTAATTACATAAAGTCAATATTTTTATGAAAGAAATACATATATGTCTCATACCGAAAAAAAAAAAACTAGTTACTAACAAGTTCCTTTCACTTGCAAATATTACATATAAAAATAAAAGTTTTATTTATAAATAAATTTAAGAAATAATTAAATTTTTAAAAAATAAAACTTTAGATTCCTACACGTTGCTTGCGTTATTGATCCTTGCACTTTTTTCAATATTTCATGTTTCTACACTTTTATTTTTTAATGTTTTAAGTTCCCACACCTTATTTATGGAAGGACCAAAAATATTGAAAAATAAAAGTGTGAGGATCTAAAATATTAAAAAATACAGGGGCTAATAGCAAAATATGAATAAAATGTAAAGACCCAAAATTATGTTTTTCCTTAATGTTTTATTTAGGATTTGATTGTAATTGTTTGTCTTATTTTTTAAAGGGTTAAATGGTAATTTGACTTTCTAAACTATAGGTTCATAAATGTTTGGGATTCTAAATTTCTTTTTTTAAACTTTTGAAAACAGTGAAATATAACCTTTGCTATTAATAAAAATTAATTTTAAATTATTGATTGGCCATAAAATGACAAAAAAAAGAACTTTTTGGGTTTTTTTAATAATTTTTTGCTATTTTGCATTATTTTCTTGTTCATTTTTTGGCCAATTAAATATCAAAATTAAATTTTATTAATATTAAAATTAAAACTGATAATATAAATTGAACCTGCCAACCTATAAAAAGAATGTGGGTTGGGTTGAAAAAATAAAATTATTTCCATACAGAGCAATTTTGGCCTGCCCTACAT